TCATATTCTCTTTATGAAATTAGTCTACATTTGGTTTATCACTTAAATTGTTTTAAAATTTAGATTTTAAAAACTGAGTTACAGTCTTTTAAAGATTTGCTCATGTTGAATTGAAAACTATTTCTTTTTGGGGGGAAAAAGTAATTTGCCCTTTTTTCCTCATCTGCCTACTCAGAATCACTAACCTTTGTGTACCAAGAAAAATCCCCGGTGGGACTGTCACTGGCCTTTGGGATTTTATTCTGTTCTGCATGTCAGGGCAGAGAACATCATCTGTCATCTGTCCTTTGGGCAGCACAGGGCGAGCCAATGGGTCTGGTTGTTGTTACGTGACTAACACGGGCTGAAAAATAAAACTAGTAATAAGAGAGGGAGCCACTGTTAGATCTGATTTAAAACTGGGTGAGCAAAATGTATTAATAATGTTCCACTAAAAGTTCTTCCTGGACTTTGCCATTTAACACCCTCCCCGTGCTTCGGTTCTGAAATCAGCTGAATGTTGTAGTTGGGCATGCAGGGTTTTACTGTGCAGCATTTGAATAATTGCTGTGGTGGAAGTTACGAAGATACACTTAATTCAGCTGAATAAAAAAATTGAAAGTTATATTATTGTAAACGACATTTTCAGGGGAGGATGGAAGTTTTAGGTGAATTGCTTGTGCAGGCGAAGTATTTTGCTTTTCTAAGAAACGCATGCAACAACTTCTCCCATTTCACTTCACTCATACTTTGCATTTGTAATCTAATAAAACACTAAACTGATTTTGCAACTAATCACTCATTATCAAACACAGCCAAAAATGTTTTCTGTTTTAATAAATACAGTATTGAAGTTGGTCATGTATGTTGGCTGCAGTATGTAGTAATGCCAGCAAACTCCTCCCACTCTGTTAAGTATATTATTTAAAGAAAACCAACCCAAAACAACCCCCTCATGCTTATTAGTAATAGTGATCAAAGCTGTACGTTTTTCAGGTCATGTCTATGATTGTTGCTGGACAGAATTTATATGCTTGTTAAAAACAAATTCGACCCATTATCCTCAAATTAATATTTCCTTCCTGATTGCTGAAGAAATGTTGTTAATCAAGGAAAATGTATTATATAAAAGATAAGTAAATAAGGTTTTCAAACACAAAGTATGAGTTTAAAAATCGGTTTCACTTTGTGGTGTACCTGCACTGGGATTTGCTAACACAGAATACCTGTGGTTTCTGTTCCTCGTGCCTTGTTTACAATCTTTGCTCAGCTCACAGAGGAGGGATAGAAATGCTTCTGGTGGACTCAGTGCTTTTATTCCAGATCTTTGCATAAATAAAGAGGAACTGATTCTTAAAAATTTTCAAAATGGGTTTCCCATTTCAGTTTTAACAACTTAAACAAAATGAAAGAAAATATTGGGAATTTCTATGAAGAGTTGGTTTCCTAGAAAGTTGAAGGAAATCTTTGTTTTAAAAAAAGAAAACTCCAAACAAGCAAAAAAAGGTCTCTGCATTTTATCATATAAAACATTTTGCTTTCATTATTTTCCCCAAATGTTTAAAGTCCTTCTGGATTAAGTAGGACTGTGCTACCAGTTACTGGATTCACAGGAGCGAATTCCTTTTAGTGTCAAGAAAATGGAAAAGCGTCTTTTGGCTATCTGCTTCTAGAGACAAGAATATAAAAACTGCTCTCTTCAGGATCTGTGCTCAAACTCTTACGCTTGTCTGGCAGCAGAGTCACAGTTTTTGCAGCTTGCTGTTTACTTTGTGAATATTTTTTTTTCATTCTCTTCATCTGTCCCGTTTCTGACAAGCTATACAGCCGCAGCCGTTGGTGTTATAACCAGTTGCTCCAGTAAATATTTGGATGCTGTGAGTCTGTTGCACGTTTTTGCTCTTATTTGGTGAATCCGTGACTTGTGGAATGCACTGGAGTGATCCCACTGCCCCCGGAGCAGGGAAGGCACAGCACAGGTACCTGCTGCTCCAGAGAGGGATTGCTGATTTCATGTCCCCTACGCGGAATTATTGTAATCCCTGTCAAAGTCACCACTTTCAGATTAGTCCGTGGTTATTGTTGAGAGCATAATCTGAACCTCATAAAGAGCAGCTATGCTGATGGTACAGGAAAGGGAGTAACTGTGGATTTGCCAAGCCTTGGGAAGCAGAGAGGGGTTTGAGCTGTGTGTGCGCTGCTTCCCAGCCAAGCGCTCTTGGTGGGATACTGTCTGGAGTAGGTGTGCTTGGCTGTTTCCTACTTTTAATCTGGACATCTCTTGCTTTTTGTAGTTCTTCCCCCTGATAATTTTCTTTTCATCTTGCTTCTCTTACATCTCCTAGAAATCTGGTCTCTTATTTAATGAATTATTTTGCTCCCTACTCTAAGCCATCTTTCTAAGCTGTTTTGTCATCTTCCTCTTCCATCCCACATCTTCCCTTTATTTCCAGTCTCCTAGGCGCTCTCAAACTTCAGCATTGCTTTAACCACTATCTTTTGAGGGAGAGGAGAAAGGAAACTATTAAAGCAGCAGCTCCCTTTTATCTCTTCTTGTCGGTCATGGTGCCATTTTTGTGAGTGTGGAGACGTCTCGCTTGGTGCTCTTGATCCTCCCTCCCAGGCCTGCCCTGCACAGCTCTCCTCGGGCAGCACCGGCCTTCTCGCAGCACCAGCATATGGAGCTCAGGTTTTGGCTTTTACAAGACCTTTTATTGGAACAATGTATTTCAAGCCACTTTTAAATCCTCCTGTCATGTCTCAAAGGCAGTGTTGAATCGCACCACCCACGGGGTTGAAAAAAATCTCCCATAACTCCTCTTACCTGATTCCTTGGTTGGCTCAACTTCTTATCTCCTGGCCTGGCCTGCTGCTGCTTTTTTTCCCTTTGTTCGTTCCTACTCTGCTAAGAATGTTCCTCGGCTCATTTCTCTGACCCTGCTGACCCTTTTTAAGTCATTTCACAGGCTGCCTTCCCCTTCCATGTCTTATCTGGGATTCTGGTCTTGGTTTAACACCTGTGTAGCAAATCTAGATTATCAGGTAAGTGTTCAGCCTGCTTCCTTAGCTCTGTGCTGTAACCAGTTGGCTGTATCCAGGAATAACAGGATGCTTCCTTCCTTTCTAGCCATTGCGTGTAGGGGAGGGAATCCAGGTAAATCCAAGTGGCTCCTTTCACATTTTCTTTTGGATTTGTCATATGCTTGTCAATTATTATGGAAGAAGTTCATCACCCTGTGAGGGTGGGGAGGCCCTGGCACAGGTTGCCCAGGGAAACTGTGGCTGCCCCATCCCAGGAAGTGTCCAAGGCCAGGTTGGACGGGGCTTGGAGCAACCTGGGCTGGTGGAAGGTGTCCCTGCCCATGGCAGGGGGTTAGAAGGAGATGATCTTTACGGATCCTTTAAACCCAAACCATTCTATATTCTATGATTATTTAGCTCTTTCTGTGAAATGTTAGGCTTTTCCTGGCATCATGAGTAGAAAGGCAAAGAGCTGAGACTGTTTTCCCTTCCTTTCTCTAAAATGCTTTCTTTTGCTTCAATTTTATGAAATTTTAAAAGCAGCAACATGGCTTGGTTTAGCATGTTATTTCTTCATCTTACTGAATCTTCATAAGGCTACCAAATTATCACCCTCCTTTCTTGAAAAGCTACAGGTGAAATGTGTGAATAAGACTTTGTCAAAGAGAGAGAGAACTTCTTCTAAACTTGGAACAATTTTTCACAGTATCAGAACACCTCTAATTGGAAGAGCTAATCACACCAAAATATTTCGGATTTAAATTAATGCATATTAGGTGTCTGCTGGTAACAGCTTGTTTGGGAGATTTACTGTATCTATCTTCCCCACGAAAATATTCATTTAATTCAAATAAAAAAGAATGAAAGTCAGGTTTTGACAGATTTCCAGCAGGTAAAAACAATTGACTTCCAAAATTTGTTACTTTGGTATATGCAGTCAGTTGAGAGGAACTCTTCTGCACATTATCTCCAGTATGGATCCCTTGGATCTGGTTGAACTACCTGGTATCAAATTCCCATCAAAAGAAACTAAGAGGAATAACCTTGTATAGAACAATTGGGGTGGAAAGTAAATGCCCAAACCTGACCAAAGCTTGAATTCCTAGCATGAGATGTGTTGTGCCTCCCAGTTTAACTTCATACCCTAGCAAGCAAGTTTAAGTGTTTAATTTTTTGGATTAGCATCTATGAGGATGTGGCAGTGCTGAAAAGGCACTGGGTATCTGTCCAGCACAGCATCGCTTTCCACTGGGTTGGGGAGAAGTAGGGCTATGTGTACAAGTGCAAAAGAATGTTTCAACCACATATAAAACCTTTGAGAGGTAAGTTTCTTGACAAAACTGTCTCTTATTTAGAGGTGCCCGAGTTCTCTGCTAAAAGATAAAATAGTGGTGTTTATAATTGGCACCAAACAATAGAGGTCGTTGTCTGTATTTGTTCTTTATTTGCAGGAAGAGTGAAACTAAATGCAGTATGAATTTAGTGTGTTAAATGTGATGTGAGTGTGTGTGTATGTAATAATAGCTCATGGCAGACAGACATTTTTACATTTTTTTATTGGATGCTTTTTCTTTATGTTTCCCTAAAGAATGAGAATTTAGTCAAAATAAATGGCAAGAGTCTGCAAGATACTCTTCTGTGTTTTTTCCAAATTTGCTTTTTAGATTCTTCACATGGATTAGTGTCTTTACTCACCTTATTTTCTTGCCTGCTTATTATTTTTACTAGTACACTAAGGGCTACAAAACTTTTCCTCTGTTTTAAAATGGGATTGTTTCTTTATTTTAATTGAGAGTTTTTCCAGATTAAAAAGAGAGACAAAATAATATGAGGATCGTGCTCTATTGTGGTGGGGAAAGTCGCTGTGTTGTGTCAGAGAACGTTCTCTAGATTGCAGCAGAATGGAGTGTTTAACTAGTGATGTAAAACAGTACTTACTTAATAGAGGGCTTTTGCAGTGCTTGAACACTGGACTCATTTTTAACCTTGGATCCTTTCAGATCTCAGCCACAGTGGATTGGGAGACCATTATGAGAATTCCCACTGGGGACAGCAGCCCGCTTTCAGGAGTGAAGGCAACTGCAGCTGGGATAAAGTGATAATAGACAGGACTGACAAGGAAGCGTGGCCTTCCATAACCGGAGCTGAGACTGAGTCTGCCTCAGAATGTACTACAGACACTGACTCTGCCTCCAACTGTGGCTCAGAGAACAGTAGCATGGCTACAGGGAGTGCCCAAGGCAACTTCACTGGACATACAAAGAAAACTAATGGCAATAATGGCGCCAACGGAGCACTCGTCCAAAGCACTTCTAACCAGAGTGCCCTTGGAGCTGGTGGAGCAAACGGCAACGGCAGCTCGGCCAGGGTGTGGGGGGTGGCTGCAGGCTCCAGCTCTGGCCTAGCTCACTGCTCTGCCAGTGGTGGGGATGGAAAGATGGACAACATGATGGGAGACGGTAGAAGTCAGAACTGCTGGGGTGCTTCCAACTCGAATGCTGGCATTAATCTTAACCTTAACCCTAATGCCAATCCAGCTGCCTGGCCTGTACTTGGACATGAAGGAACTGTGGGAGCAGGCAACCCTTCCAGTATTTGCAGTCCAGTCAGTGCCATAGGTCAGAACATGGGCAACCAGAATGGGAACCCAACAGGCACCTTGGGTGCTTGGGGAAACTTGCTGCCGCAAGAGAGCACAGAACCACAAACGTCCACTTCTCAGAATGTGTCTTTCAGCGTACAACCTCAGAACCTTAACACTGATGGACCAAATAACACTAACCCCATGAACTCTTCACCAAACCCTATCAATGCAATGCAGACAAACGGACTGCCGAACTGGGGGATGGCTGTTGGCATGGGGGCCATCATCCCGCCCCACCTGCAAGGCCTTCCTGGTGCTAACGGAACATCGGTTTCTCAAGTCAGTGGGGGCAGTGGTGAAGGAATGGGCAGTTCAGTGTGGGGGATGTCCCCAGGTAATCCTGCCACAGGAAACAGCAATTCTGGGTTCAGTCAGGGGAATGGAGACACTGTGAACTCAGCATTAAGTGCTAAACAAAACGGATCCAGCAGTGCTGTGCAAAAGGAAGGAAACGGAGCGAACGCATGGGATTCGGGGCCTCCGTCCGGTCCCGGGGTCCTGGCGTGGGGCAGGGGCGGTGGCAGCAGCGGTGTTGGTGGTGTGCATTCTGGAGCTTGGGGCCACCCCAACCGTAACACCAGCAACGGTGTCAACGGGGAGTGGGGCAAGCCCCCAAACCAGCATTCCAATAGCGACATCAATGGGAAAGGATCAACAGGGTGGGATAGCTCTAGTGTTACCAGTCCGAACCCTGCCATGCAGCAGGGCAATGAACAAATGAACTCTTGGGCCAAAGCTGCAGCATCTGGCACCACGGCTAGTGAAGGAAGCAACGACAGCGGTGGGAGTCAAAATGAAGGCAGTACTGGGAGGGAGGGGGCTGGAGAGGGCAGGAGGAGAGACAAAGGGATGATAGACCAAGGGCAAGTTCAGTTGCCAAGAAATGACCTTGACCCCAGGGTCCTGTCCAATACGGGGTGGGGACAGACCCCTGTAAAGCAAAACACTGCCTGGGAATTTGAAGAGTCCCCAAGGTCTGAACGGAAGAATGACAATGGAACAGAGGCCTGGGGTTGTGCAGCTACTCAATCTTCAAACTCAGGGGGGAAGAACGATGGGTCCATCATGAACAGTACAAATACCTCTTCAGTATCTGGGTGGGTCAACTCTCCACCGGCAGCTGTTCCAACAAATACAGGTTGGGGAGACAATAACAACAAAGCACCAAATGGCCCGGGGGGGTGGGGAGAGTCAGCAAGCTCTACTACTGTTAATAATGCTGCTGCTGCCAAAAGCGGCCACGCTTGGAGTGGGACCGCAAATCAGGAGGACAAATCACCTACCTGGGGTGAACCTCAGAAACCCAAATCTCAAAACTGGGGAGATGGACAGAAATCAAATCCAAGCTGGACTTCCGGAGGTGGAGACTGGACAGATTCATCATCTGTTCCTGGACACTTGGGTGATGGGAAGAAGAGTGGATCTGGATGGGATTCTGACAATAGATCGGGGTCTGGCTGGAATGATTCCGCGAGGTCTGGGACCAGTGGGTGGGGAAATGGCACAAACAGCAAGGCTAATACAGGTACAAGTTGGGGGGAATCTTTAAAGCCGGGCCCCCAACAAAATTGGGCTAATAAACCCCAGGACAACAATGTGAGTAACTGGGGAGGAGCTGCTTCTGTAAAACAGACGGGGTCAGGGTGGGTTGGTGGGCCAGTGCCAGCCAAACAAAAAGAGAACTGTGAGGCAACTGGCTGGGAAGAGCCATCGCCACCGTCCATTCGCCGCAAGATGGAAATCGATGACGGTACCTCAGCTTGGGGCGACCCAAATTACAACAACAACAAGACTGTAAACATGTGGGATAGAAATAATCCTATAATTCAGAGCAGTACCACAACCAACACCACCACCACTAGCACCATTATCAACACCAACATGGTTGAACCTCAGCCATCGCACCAGTCAAGTGCCCAGCCGAACCGGTCCCCGCTGCTTGGCCCAGGTATGAAAGGTTTTACAAGTTATTTTATGATTTTATGAATCTTTTTACCATTACCAATTAACTGAACGCGTCTGTCCTGTCAGCGTGTAGTTGGCGCATTAAAAATAGAAATCCTGCATTTATGTCACAGAATATGTTTGTTTCTTTACTCTGAAGCTGTTTTATCTTAAGGACAGAACTTATGGGACCCAACACAAATTTTCTTACACCAGGTGAATGTAAGAAAGGCCTGAAACAGTGTCTGGTCAATAACCTGGCAGGTTCTTTGATGGTGGACCTATATTTATTTTGGCATCTCTTCCCCAGTTACTTTTAATTCAACCATTTGAGAGTTTGGGTCTTTTGGCAAACCTTTCTTTTCTTATTTGTCTCCTGTTCCCAGTGCACGGGCTCTGTTCATGTTTAGATAGTCTGCATCTGTTTCTTTGCTGCAAACCATATCTCTTGGCAACACATGTTTGTTTTAAGTTGCATAAATTTATGGTTTTGCTGTTTCTCCGTCTTGTTGTCTTTTATGAAGGAATGGGCAGTATCCTGGATTTTGTGTGATGCTTATGAAGCAGGATCGGTTAAACGCATTAATATTCAGGATGGCTGGGAAAAGTTATTCTAACTTCAGCTGTGCTTCAAAGACAAGTTTTTAGACATCTAGGAATTTCTGTAATCAAAGACGGGTACTCTTGTGGACAATCAGCAAGGAATAAAAATGCATAAAAAATGAGAAAAATGCTTAAGGGGAAGGTATTTAAATAAAAGTTAACACCAGCAGCCCTGATCTGTATCGTGACCACAGACCTCTCCGAAATTAATCTAATCTTGCAATGCTGTTACAAATTCTTCATCTGATTTTTGTCTCCAGGTTTTTGTTCTGTCTTGGTCATGACTAAGTACTCTCTTTTTAACCACAGTTTTTTCCAAGTAGAATTTGTTCTCTCTTTTCCAACAGTTTTCTCTTTGATGTTGTGAAATAATTCAAATTTACTCTAATGTCTGTGTAAAAATAGTCTTGTGTTCCCCACTCTGGACAAATATTTTAACAGTTGAGGCACATGTTATTGGAACATGTTATTTTAATAGAAAATATAATAATAAAATAATGTGTGCTCCCAAAGGAGAAATCTTTAAATAGCTTTTTACTTGGTCAGTTCAACGTAAGTGATTGATAATTAATTTACTTTAAACTTATTTCATCCGCATTTAAAACTTTACCCATGGAACAAGAATTCAGATTTCTGAATTGTAGTGAACCTATCAAGATTTCTGAATTATAATGGAGCTATCATGGAAGTGAATTTTTGATTGGTTTAGGTGAGGTTTTGTTTGTCCTTAAGGGGATTTTTGGAGGATTACCGTGGTGCTTGTAAAACAGTTCATACATAGCAATGCGTTGTTAATGCTATTAAATAATCTAACATCTTGCAGAAGAACACTTACATTTCTGAGTCTTTCAGATTTTAAAAAGGGAATTTAAAACCTGGTGTTAATCTGCAGTGATTCCTCTGGAGAATGGACAGGGTAGTAAAGGAAGGGTTTCTTTGAAGCAGTATGTTTATACACTTGGGAGAACTTACGACTGTAACCTCCTGCTCAAGTTGCCTCATGACCATGTTAAAGTTACAGCATTGGGCGTCTTGTAAAATGTGATTTAGAGAGATTCTAAGAAAAACACTTCTTTTTCTAAAAATGTTTGAAGATAAACAAAGCCAGCTCTCAGAATACAGTGAAGTCAGCATGCCAGGAAGTATAAAATGAGCAATAGTAAGGATAATTCAAAATACGGTTCTGGTATTAAAATTGAGGTCAAGCTGCTCCAGGCATAAATTAGGCCTTTTGTTGTGTATTTTTGCTCCATATACTTAGGGCTGTGCCCAAGAGGTACAGGTATAAAGGCCAAACAAGGGAATATTTTGAAGGATTACTGTCTAATCTGCAAATGGAAGCGAGAGCAGTCCCCTGAGCCTTGTTGTGTTCTGCCCATGTTTACTTGTGGCTGTGCCCAAGAGGGACCAGCCTTGTGCTTATCTTACACAGAGAGCAAAAATTGCAATTGCAAGTGATCCCATTAACTTCCCATTCGGAGTGCAGGGGCCCCAGTTTCCCCAGTGCCAGGGCAGCTGCAGAGCAATATCCTCTTGGTCTGTGTGGAAATTACACAGACTTAAAACATCTACAAATCATCTCCCATCTGGGACAGCTAAAAGATGGGAAGCAAGTAGTGAGTGTCTTCCCTCCCACGCAGACGGGGACCTGCAGCTTGGAGTCATGCTGTTTAACTGTAGTTTTTCCTACTCCAGTTCCCTCTCCACTTGGCTTCGCTTTTCCAGCCTCTGCAGTGAGGGAGACAGGAATCCTGTAACCAGTAGACTTCAGTAATCCACAACCAGATTTCCTCCAGCAGCAGTTCCTTTCCATGTACAGTATTTCCACGTGAAACACAATCAGGCCATTAGAGGCTGTGCCATAGGGCACAGTTTAAAATCTTGTCTAAAATCTTGCACCCCTTGGACTGCGTAGTTACCACGGGCATTTTGTCGTCTGCATGGGTCATGATGTGCTTTGCCAGTCACATTCAGGGAGCAGAGTGAATAAGAAATTGTGGATTCTGTTCCTCTATAAGTAGGGAAGGTGGTGCAGCTGTAAAGCTGTCCCAGTCACACATCCTGAAAGCAAAAAAGTGGATTTTAATTTTGCTGTACAGCACTAGTTAGGGGTTCACAAAGGATTAGCAGTCGCCTTTAGGGTTGAAGTTTATGGTTTTTTAGTTTAGAAGTGGAGGCCAAGTTACAGTCTTGTTATTCAAGTTGTCACCCATCCCCAGAAGTTCTCCAAATTCTTTGAACACAGCACTTAAAAGCTATTGATGGGAAGCAGATGTTGGTACACACTTGATGAAAATGCAGAATGCTCCAAGGAGTTTCTTTTTCTATTGGAAAAGAAGAAATAAAGAGGAGGGGAAGGCGATAGATGATGTGATAAATGTAGTCCTTTCTGGTTCTAGGAGCTTGGTCCCAAACCTCCAGTGAGTTAGTTAGGAAGATGAGCAGCAAGCTGATGGGTTTGAGTTAGATTTGATTTTAATCTAAATTACTTGTGCATAATTCTTCCCAGCACTTTTAATTCGTGCAGCTTTGATACAAGGGGAATAAGAAGTGAGAAGAGGTTTTTCAAACAGGAATGATGAAAAGAGATTTTTGGATCCCAAACAGCACGAGATCCTTCCTCCAAGTGCTGAGGAGTGGGCTTGATGCTTTCCTGTTCCCATTAGGCTGTGAGAGCCTGGCAGGTTTCCAACCACCCGTCCTCCAGCTGAGGAAAGAAAAAGCAAAAGATGACATAGGCTTCCCTGTGGGGGTTTTAGGTCAAAAATTAAGGTCTTTGTGATTCCTAGACAGCAGTAAGCTTCAGTTTTAAAAATCTTACCCAGGCCTAAGTTCTGAAAGCTCTGGACATCTCTCTGTTCCTTTTGTAATCCTGTGCCACTGTCTCAGTGGTAACTCATGACAGCCATAGCCTGTAACTGATGTGAAATGCAGGATGCAGGTGATGTGTTTTCCTTACTTTGAACTTCCATCAGAATGCATTTGAAACCAGCTCAGCTTTGGGCTCAATTAGGATGCTCATGAAAACCTAAAACCCTGTTGTGGGAGCTCAGCCCGTGAACAGCCAGGTTTTTGGGGAGCAGCCAGGTGATGATGAGAGACCTGCCCTTGATTTGCACACAAGAGTGATCTCACTGCTGAAACTCAAATTAAAACTTCCTGAATGCTGAGCGGTACAAGAAATCACAGAGTTCCACTGCATGAACTGGAATCCCTTCAAGAAAAGGAAGATCTGAAAGGTTAATGGTTATAGATGGCTCTTAAATATATATGTGTATTTATTTATATTTATATAAACCCCTGCCTTGTACGTGCACACCCTATATCTTAATTTCTTTTATTAACAGACTAGTGTCTAATTAGTAAACAATCTCTTTTCTACCAGTTTCTTCTTTTTTTTTGTCTACATAAGGTTCTAATATTTTGGTTTGCCCGTATTGTAGTCATGTGTTCTGCTATTTATCACGGACCAGCAACTTCAAGGAAAACAATTTCTGCCATCCAAATGGCTATAGGGTTATTTTGAGGGAAAACAACTGCATCCTGCCACAGCTTAGTTAACATTTCACTTTCCCTTGAGGATTTCCTGTTGGCTCTGGCCCAATGTTAATTATGTTTTTATTTCTATAAAACAAAGCTCTGCCAATGTGTCCATGTTTATTACTCACTGTGATCTTTTTGTTTCTTGAAATTGTAACAGTGTTTAAAAACTTCAGTACTAAAACCTCTCTTTCCTGCCAAAGAAGCCTTTATTGGAGCTCATTCTGTTGCAAAACAACACTCGTGCAGATCTGGGTTGGTTTTAAGGAGCTTTTTCTTGAGAAAGCCTAAAGCACATTATTTTCATAAAGAAGTTATTAAGTTTTCTCCAAGCAGAATTTTTGGAAAATGTTAGGCAGGTTCGGGTTTTGAGGCCATGCAGAGTTTTGCATCGTTCATTCGAAAATGTAACTTCATTCACCTTCAAAGTTTCTAAAACAGAATCATATGGAGTCATAAAAAGGTAGCACAGAGGTAGTAATGTTGGGACAGCAGGTCCTTACACAGAGAGGAAACAGGTTTGCAACTGAGAAGTACTCTGGGATTTATATACAGGTTAATTCTTGCAGTGCACATGTTGTTTCTCCAGCAGCCTTCACATTTTATTTGCTGATTTTCTCCACTTAGTTTGATCTGTTCAGATAGTTTTGAAATCTTTTTGTTGATTTATATTGTTTGCTTTTATGTACTTGCATTACTCTCATTTAGTAAAGGCTGGTTCCTCCATTATTGGTAATCCTGTATTATTTGCTGCTCAGTGAATTCAAAAGCACTTAAAATAACTTGGACATTACACATCTGTGGCCTTTAATCGATGATGTTGAATTTATAGTAAAAAGCAACAGCAGGAACAGTTCTTTTGAGGTTTTTATTCTATAGGGTAGCACACTTTGGCTTTTTAATATATTAATTGTGTTTTAAGGATGATTCCATAAATGAATTAGGTAGAGTTTCCAGTATAGGTTGCATGAACTCAAAGAAATGTTAGTATTCTGCACTGTCTAGTTGGTGCTGTAGAGATGTTTTGTTTCTGTTTCATTTGCCTGCAGTTAATCTTTTTCAGCTGCCAATATGATTAAATACACACAGTTGTCTTCCAGTTGCCTCCTGAGTAGTGAGGCAGAAATTCAAATAAAGCCTCCCTTAAATAAAGTTGGCTTGAAGATACGAGCAGAAGCCTTGAAAATGAGTATTTCAGGTGCAGCACCAAGGAAGCTGTCGTGTTAAACAGAGGTTCATTTAGATACATCTGTGGATCTGCCAGTTTATCTTCTTTACACACCTTAAAATAACATTGATAGAGCCTTAACCACAGCAATTTGGTTTCAAATGGAAATCACTTTTATGAAACAGTGACATTTTGGGTTGTTTCAGGAGTATGCTTTAAAACACAGTGGATCTTGCTGGTAGTGAAGGAGGTTTTTTAAGCTGTTTGTTCCTGAACATGTCATTGTGGTTTGTGCCATCTGCACTTTGATCAGTATCTGATAGAGCTGCAGTGGCTTCAAGAAATAGACCCTAAAATGAATATCTAATATGGGAACACTGGAGCCGTGGACAGATCTGAGCATATCTATTTGAAAGGAATTTTTTTCCTCTGCTGGCCAGCGTTTGAGTTTTCATTGGCAGTGGATGTTGCTCCAGTTTTTGGTAACAGAAATTCTGTGGAAATCAGTGAGTCCCGCAAAGACTTGTTGCTTAATGAAATGCTATTTCTTGGTTAGCTCAAATTATTTTGAGGTATTCTTAGATATAGTTCTTTTGTGGTGATTTCCTTGTCATTGTCTACGTATTCTAGGTGTCAGTTTGTGGAGAAAATGTTATTCCTGCTCTTTGAAGCCTTCCCAGAGTATTTTTAGAGAGCATTGGGGAGTAAAAAAAAAGGAATGCTGCCGTGGCAAAGTAGGCATTTAGTTCTTCAGCTATAAAATACCTGTCTTAATAATATTCATCTCCAGTTAAAAGAGAAGTTCCTGAATTAGCAACCTAATTACCAGGGGAAGTTTTAAGCAGACTGAATTCTGCAGTACTTGTTGAGATCTCGGTTGTCATGTAATGGGATGCAATTTTTTATAATTGTGGAAAAATAGGTTAATATCAGCTATCTGTATTTTTGTTTTCTTGCCTGTTATGCATCTCCTTTGTATATGTTTAGAAAGTACCTTGAACTCCATCTGTGATCCAAGTTCACTCTGCAGAAAAAGCTCTGGTAATCATAGTTGTAAATTCAATTTACCCTTTTGCTGTGTTGGTCAGGGTTGCTCTGTAGGGCTCAGAAGCTCCATGGCTGTTCCTGCCACATTCAACTTCAGGGCTAAAATCGTGTCATATGGATTTAAGCGCATTACATTCGAGCCAAGCCAGACTAAGGCTGTTTCTGCATAGTAGCTTACGTCTTTCAGTGAGTTAATGCAATACTCTTTAGGAAAACAGTGACTTCTACCTGCTGTTCCTCATGCTTTGACTATGGATCCTAATTGCAATCTTGTCTAGTTCCCCTAAAAAAATCACACTTATTATAATGTAGAGGCTCGGTGTTGAAGGGGTACGTAGGGAGCTCAGCCATGAGCCCTAATAACAAACAAATAGCATCTTACTCATAGGGCACCAAAAAAGAGATTTTATCATTTGTAAATAGTTAAAAGGAATCAAAATAGGTTGAAATATTTCAGTGGATCAAGGCCTGACTCGGGTTGGGTGTCCTGGCCACTGGCCCTGCTGCCTGTGCTCCCTGAGCCCTGTTTAAGCCGCTCTGAGAAGTCACGTTTGAAGCAGCTGCTCCTCGGGATCAGGTGTGCTGCTCACCTGGCTGCTCCTGGCTGTGGAAAAAACCACTTTCTGCCTTGACCACCTGGTGTTACTGTTCAACTAAGAACATTTAGTGAAATGTCCACCTTTGAACTGAGTGACAAAAGAAGCCTTCCCTCTCATCAGTGTTCTCCTTTCCCTTGCTCCAGCAGGCTGGGGAGAGATGCCTGCTGTCCACACAAAGACCGAAGCTTCTTGGGGAGAGCCCTCGTCCCCTTCTGCTGCAGTTGATAATGGCACTTCGGCGTGGGGGAAACCCCCCAGCAGTGGGACCGGGTGGGGAGAGAATCCTGCCGAGCCGGCAGGGACTTATGGAAGAACAAACGCTCCAGCTGCTGCCCCAGCACTGTGCAAACCAGGTACGCCTGTGGATGTCACGCCCTCAGAGGCTGGGGGGAGAAGATGGGAAAGTGGGGTTTGTTCCTGCCAGCTGTTTTAAACAGCGCTTCTGGTTTTCTGTGCATTGACATCAGAGCTGCATTTGCTGCCTCTAACTGTGGATACTGAAGGTATCAAATTAATAAAAAAAATATGAGTATAGTGCAGCAATCCAGTACATTTAAAGGAGAGTAATTTTGTGTACTTGGGAAGCAGTATGGTAGAGAGGCAGGAACTGTGGAGCTGTAGAACAACATGACCAGGTGCCCAAAGAAACCTGTAATTGGGATGAGAAGCAGCAGATTTCAGCCAAAGTGGGACTGATTCTGGTAAGAAAAGCAGCACCTGAGAACAGCAAGTCATAACCTCACTGTTGGGTCAGACTTGAGGGAGTGAGTGTTTTCTTCAGCTATTACAATTGTTCACAGGTTCAGGAACATCCTAAACTACTTCCTGTTTCATGATTCCTAACCCATGTTATTTAATAAAAATCCTTTATCTCTGAATGCCCTGAAGGCCACAGTGATTGCTTTTGGCTTCTGTTTTGGCTGTGGGAGTTGCCTGGAGTTCACTCCTGCAAAATACCATATTGAGAGATAGATAGAAGGCCCAGAAAACATAAAAGGAGAAGCGAGAGGTCTCAAGATGAGTAATCCCAGCTTTAAACAGAGTAAACAGAATAAAGTGGACTGAGGGGACACAACCTCATTGCTGAATAGAAAAGTGTTCCCTGCAGCCCACGAGCTCCTTTCAGATTCCATTCTTCCGAGATGGGAATGAGTTTCTGACCGTTAATGACCTTGAAATTAGGGTTTGTTCGTCAGAAGAATGTGGCAGCTAAAATGGTGAGATTCGTTGAAAGCAAAATAGCACTTAACAAGTGTGTGGTCATAGTTTGTGGTTCCCTGTTCCTAAGGAGACCAGAGTGGCCATGACCACAGATCTTGCTTGTTCTGGGGAAAGCAGGACTTGTGGTTGCTGGATTTTTTTCTTCTCTAAGTATTTGGAGAAGTTCTCTTTTGCTAACTTCACAGAAGGCGTCCTTATCATTTAATGCCAGTTAAACTATTTGATAAACCTTTTATGTCGCTTGGAAATACTCATGTTAGCACACTGGATATGGCACGAAAGGATATTTCTGTAAAATTTGCAGGGAACTGAATTAATATTTTTCTTCTGCCTCTTTCCTTCCAGCTTCAAAATCTATGCAAGAAGGCTGGGGCAGTGGTGGGGATGAAGTGAATCTCAGTACTAGTCAGTGGGAAGATGAAGAAGGAGATATGTGGAATAATACTGCTTCACAAGAGAGCAGCTCCTCCTGTAATTCCTGGGGGAATGCCCCGAAGAAAGGACTTCAAAAGGTAAAACAAAAATAAAGACACTCTCTAGGAAGAGTGGAATTAATGTTAACATTTGTAAAATAAGTTGTCACAAATTTGCTGTTGCATTACACCTGAAATTAAATCTCTGACACCTGAACCCAAGCACAGCTTGCCACTACAGTGGTTCAAGTACAGCCTACCTTGTTTCCAGGGGAAAATGGGAGATCTTTGAATTTAGGCATGTCAGATGCTTCGGGAGTTTTGTTGTTGTTTGCCTTTGTTTTTTTTTTTAAAGTTTTATAAGCTTCCATGTACTCTAAAATGAAAATGTATTAACAGAAAGAAAAAAGGTGTTAAGGGGACTTTCAGACACTTCCCATGATGGTGGGAAAGCAGTAGTTTGTGATGGATTTGTTTAACAAAACCAGCTGTTTTCTGTTTGTGACGAACCAACAGATAACTGTACGGGGTGTGTGTGTGTGTGTGTGTGAACAAAGCAAACTTGTATTAATGCTGCACTCAGCCGAGAACGTAGAAAATTGTGTGAGGAAGTTTCCCATTGCACAATCTTTATTTCAGGACAAGGCCAGGCTGTAACTTAAAGGAATTGGGAATGCATTTAGCCACTTTGTTTGTTGTTCCATTAGCCAACAGTTAGGCCGGTGATTTGATCAAGTATGGTTGTTTCTTGTACTGTCCGCAGCCCAAAACAAATCCGCGCTTGTCCCTTGGTACTTTCTGGAGAACTGAAAGGAAGAGACTTCTTAAGGATTTTGTGATAGAAAAGCTGCACAGAGATCTTTTAAAGGTGTTTATCTAGACGCTCTTGTTTGTTTTTAAGAAAATACACTGAGTAACATTCTTAACTTCAAGGTCGCAAACTTGTTTTTGGGAATGTTTTTCAGGAAGTGTTGTACTATTTTGGCTTTATTTCATTACGTTTTTCTGCCAAGGATTAAAATGAAATACGTAAATTCAAAGGTGGCTTTAATTCAGTGGTCGGCAAATCAAATACTAAATAGTACACTGAACACCTATTCAGCTGAGATAAAATTGGTTACACTTTTGGGGGAAGAGAATCGTAGTCGCGTTGCTCGGAGGGTTCTTCAATACTTTCTGAATTAATGTACTAATACATCTTTCAGTAGCATGTGTTATTAATAAAAAACACTTACCATTTCTTTTATGTACATCTCACTGGTGTGTAAGTGTGGAAACCAGCCCATTAATGCAGTCTCCCATTTATTTACTAAGGGCATGAAGACATCTAGCAAGCAGGATGAGGCCTGGATCATGAACCGTCTGATAAAACAGCTCACAGACATGGGCTTCCCTGTGAGTAGTACTCAGACAGACACCTCTGCCTTAGCCTTGGTAGCTCATAGTTCTGACTTGATTTGTTTCAGACTGTAGCTGCAAAAAGATCTTCAGTCTCTTCTTCAGGTCAGGAAGCAGCTCTGTTGCCTGCATTTAGCCTGTAATTTCAGAAATCTGCTGTAAACTGGTAGAGCGCTCTGAAATCAACCGGAGGATACACTTTGCATGATGGCATTTATAATATTTCGATGTTTAGAGTTTATGACAGCAGTTGTTGCTTTGAACTGCAGTAATAATTTCACTCCTGTTCCCTTTTTCTTACTAGACAGGTAAAATGAGAATATAGCTGGATTTTCTTTTTTTTAATAGAAAAATCATTGTGATATTTAAGTTGTCCGTAGGAAACAGGAAGACGTTTAAACAGAGCAGTGTGGTTTGACCTTGCAGAGCTGGTACTCAGCAAACTGAAACAAGTGAATTGTGGGAATTGCCCAAAGGAGAAACAGAAATACACAGAGACATTATTTAGGCTGCAGAGTAAATATTAAATCCTGTATTTAAGAGATTTATCTGTTTTCTCAGGTTGCTTTGAAATCATATGAGTGTGGTTACCTTTTTTCTTAACATAATTCATATTTTTTGACAGAGAGAGCCAGCGGAAGAGGCCTTGAAGAGCAACAGTATGAATCTCGATCAGGCCATGAGTAAGTATCTGTGTAAGTAATTTTTTTTTGTCTTTAAAGCAACAGAGGAGCCCTTCATGATTCTGAGAGTTTTATTATATCCAGATCAATTGGGTAATATTTATTTTCTTGCTTTTGCTTTTGCAAGCAAGATGTATTTCTCAGAACTGCTGTTAGCAACTTTACTGTCTCTATGTTGTCACCTTTTCCAATATGATTTCCTTTTCTGTGCAGGTGCTCTGCTGGAAAAGAAGGTGGAAATGGACAAGCGTGGAATGGGAGTGACCGACTATAATGGAATGGTCACCAAACCCCTTGGCTGCCGCCCACCACCAATCTCCAAAGAGTCTTCCATGGACCGCCCCACCTTCCTTGACAAGGTGAGCTCAGAAATAGGAATGTGAGGCACAAGTCCAGATGATTTCCACTATCTGTTTAGAAAGCATAGATAGAAGTGTGATGGCTTTATCCCTTGTCTGGTCTATTTTTAATCTTGTTGGGAATCCAGTCCTTGTGCGAAGGACCAGTGATTTGATTCCCACACAGAAATAAACAATGCTCATCACCAGTTTTACACTTGAAAACTCATCAAGAAATCAGTAATACGATCAAACTAGAAGTGGAAAAAACAATGAAATGAAGCCCAGAAATCCTTTCATTCTGTGAGGGTCCAGGCAGTCGGTGACCCTTGCCCACATTAACAATCAGGCAGGACCAAGGCCAAAATCTTCAAGAATTAGGCTCTTAGTTCCTCTTTCAGTTTTGAGCTTCTTACAGATTTCAGTGAAAGTTCAGTACCTAAATAGGAAAGAGAAGCTGAGGTATTTTTGTTAAGTCTCAGAGCAGACACGCACAGTCATAAATAGCTTCTCCAATGAGCTTCCCTTTCTGTGGTCATGTATGACAAATTTCACAGCACCATTTAATGGCTGAAGAGAAGGCTCCACAAGTTTGTGGTGTCCAAAATTCAAAGTGACTAAAGGAAAGAATATGGGGAAAAGTGCTGCCAGATGTTCAGTAGGAAATGAGATTTACAGCCTGACACAAAGTCCCACCAGATCACCTCAGAATCCCCCGAAAATAATTGATAAGGAAAGAACAATCTCATGTGCCAGATCTGTATTTCACAGGTTATCTAAAGGTTCATACAGATGAGTGGTGATAGATTCTGAACACAGAAATTCGTGCTTTTCACAAACTGTGCTGAAACCAATTCATTTCACATAAGCTGTGTACAGGATGTGAGGCAGTAATGGTACCTGGTCATATAAAGTTCTTTCTTAGCTGTGGCAAACTTTAATGAATATGTTAATTGAAGGCTACAAGATTGATGTATGCATGCCAGTTAACCTTCCCTTTTCTTGGATAACAGTATCTTCAGCAGTAAAATTATTGCCAGAGAGAGAGGTGCATTATGTGCAGCATGATGCATAATTATGGAAACATATGTTAAACACAACTATTGAGAAGAGAGTACTAAAATCATTAATATTCATACAGAAAGTAAAATCTATCAGTCTAGGCATAATCTGTCACAGTGACTTTGCTATAACAAAAGGAAATAATCCCACACTGTATTTGTTAGCTATCACACTGTTGAGCAACTTGTTAAGTGAATTAAATAAATATAGTTCCTTCTTGAAGAACAGATTTTTTTTCCCCAAAGAAATTCTTTCCAGTTTTACAGCTCATGCTAATAGAGCAATTCCTCTTCCCCCAAAGGCTTTCTGCCCTTTGTGGTACTATTCCAGAGCATGAGTCTGGAGCTGTCTCTTTTCCTGCTCAGGTCATCCTTGTGAGGAACAAAGCTCTCAGCACAGCTGGACAGAGCATTCCAGCCAACATTCCCTGTTTTACTTACTGCCTTAGCAAGTCATTATCCTTTTATTGGCTCTGCCGAGTCTTCAGTGAGTTCTGCAAGGTTCCTCTTCATGAGATTTTAGGTTGGGTTTGTGTGCTCATTGCTACCACTCTCACTGATTGTCTCAGCTCACCTGCATTGACCAGCTCACCATTTTTCTCCTGCATTTTCTCTGACAGGTAAAGCCAGTACTTACTTTTTTTTAACCTTATGCATTTGAGGAGGGAGAATTTTCAGCCCTGACATTCGCTTCTGGAGCCTCTGAACTCCCTCTTCTCTCTGAATCAGTAGTGGTCTGTGCAGCTCAACATCACCTTTGAATGTTTGCTTTCTCTTGTTTCTCAGTGCTTGCTGCTGGTGCTCTTTATTCCATGTCACACTGAGTCAATCTTTGGCACTCGATGCTTTGTTAATTGTTTAATTTCTCAGGATATTATCCTGACCTGTAGGGCCATTACATGAGAAAGGAGAAAATCCAGTGGCTTGGAGGAAATAAAGATGCAGCCCTGATGCGTGATCTCAACCACGTTTTCTTACACTTTGCCCTGATGCTGCTTCCGAACTTTCTCCCAAATTCTTGAGCACCCAGGAGACTCTGAAATTCTCACCTTACAAATGAAGTCTCCTTTTCTCTACTGTCTTATTCGTTGATCAGCTCTTCCTTTCTACTACTGAGAGATCCAGGTCTACAAGCCTTGATGCCTCTTAACTGCAAAAGTCTTATGACTAGACTTTTTTCTTGTTTCTAATTGAAACTTCATAATTGTCATTTTTTTTCAACCTCATCCTTCACATTCTGATCCCAGTAATCTCTGGTGACTGTTTTTTGTCGCTGGGGCAATAAATAGGATATTTTATTATTATGCAGAAACATTTTTTAAGTCCTGGCAATTAGATAATAATTGCCAGAATTTTAAGCTTGACTTAAGATTCTTCTTTCCTTCATCTCTGCTTCCTATGATTTGATGACTGTTCCTTTTTTTGAACTTCCAGACTTTGAAACCACTTTCATCTTCCCATGTATAATGAGTATTTCTTTGAGTATTGCATTTCCTCCAAGTTTCTTTTGGCTGTACCTAACTCCTGTCTGATTTGAAGGGAACTTACTTTGAGATGAGGTTTTATTACTTTACCTTCCTCTTTTAGAAAAGGGATTTTTTTTAAACCTTTTTTTAATTTTTTTTTAAGAGATCAGTGTGTATTTTCTACCAACTATTTCTGTTACTGACTTTGTATAAAGACTTCTGACAAAAATTCATGAGCCTTGCTCTCTGTTGGGGCATTTTGATTCACGAAGGGGCAGTTGTTGGCAGGTGACTGTCAAAGTGTCCAGGGATCCTCTGCTAAATAGTCCATATCTCCCAGGGCTAAAAAAACTTCAGAGTAACACCACTTGCATTGTGTCACATATTTGATGCTTGGGAGTACTGTGAGAGACTTTCCAAAGTCCTAAAAAGCACCAGTGTGGTGTTTTGTGTTGGATTACTGTAGTAGCAAACACTGCAGGTGTGTCAGGACCCTTCAAAAAAGTTAAAAGCAGTGCTGGATAATGTGATGATTCAAATGTGGAGGATTTGTTTAATTGATTAGCCTGAGGGAGAACTGTAACATAAATTTGTAAGTAAATCACTGAAGAGGAGAAGTTAGGTAGAAAAGATTGCTCTTCAGGAAACAATATTATGTAAAGTAGCCTGAAAAATAATGGATTACAAACCACTGTGAGCGGTAAAGATGTCCCCTGGTCTGGGTTGGGAATGGTTTTAAGTCGACCAGCTAAAATACTTTATGTTAAATGAATTGATTTCAGTTCAGTTACAGAGCACAGATTTGTACAGCAGTTTAAATTAAATAAAATAGAACCAAGTGAATGTGAACAAAATGTCATAAACTTGCACAAAAGCCATTTGCTGCAAAAGGAATACCCTTGTGAAGGAGTCTGCCTGCCCTAGAAATTAAATGCCTGAGTCTCCAGTGTGGCTTGTCCTCCACCATCCTTGGCACTGCCTATTTCAAAATTGAGAAAAAATAATGTCAGCGAGACGAGACTTGAATAAATTTGGGGGGCAGGGAGGGATTGCATTGAGTCTTTCATGGTCAATAGGTCTGTTCACATAGGAAACAATGGCATCTGAAGGAGAGAGCACACACCAAGCTTGAAATTATTTTCACTTTAAAGGGGGAAGGGTAGAATTGTAAACATATGTCTGTGATCTGAAGAGAAATCCTTGAACCTGTTACTGTCATGCAAGCTGCAGTTGTTTGTGGAGTGTGACTGATGTCCAGTAGAATGTAAAATATCTCCAGCTGAAAGGCCTTGGGGATATCATTAGAAAATGTCAGTGTCCCCCTCAGGATAGTCAGATAGCATGTCAGGTGTCACTTTGCCTCGTAGTAAAGAAACTTTTCCTTTGCATCAAAGGAAAGCTGTTGAAAATGCATTTTTCAGCATTAACCTAGAACATAAAATTCACTGAGCATGCTTGCTGCATTAGATCATTTATTTGGGTATCTGGTTCGCAGACGGGGCTGCTTTTTGAACAAAGAAGATTTATCAATATCTCACAATCTTCTGGGGCATTGAATTTATAGGTTGAAATAACCAGGCTCTTCACCTCTTCAAAAAAGCCTTTCCTTGCAATGAACATAGTGCCTGAAAAACCCCAGTCCAGCACATTGCAAATTAGAGATTTTTCGCTCTGCCTGTTTTTTTCGGAGCCCTACTTTGTACACAGTGTTATTTGATCACGCTTGCCGCAGGCTCCCCAGACATCAAAGCACAGTTTGAGATAGAACTCGGTGCCCCACTGTAATACGAGCGAGATATTTACCTGTTTGATTGGGGATTCTGTAATTTATTTTATTTTCTGCCTTGCTGTTTGCCCCCCGTGGGGGCTGCCTCCTGTGCATCACAGCCACGCTCAGCCGTGGTTCCTTGCAGCCCAGTTAACAGAGGGGGCTCCTCCTGCCTTGCTAAAATCTGCCTCCTCCTGGGGATGTTCAGGAAGGCTGCACAGACGATATTGTCATTACTGGGTTTAAGTGGTTTGTGTTCATTGGGCGCAGTTTAATGTTTCATAGTGGGTATTATTAACTCAGCGCTATGTGAATATTAAAAGAGGCTCATGTGTCTCAGTTAGGAAAGGGGATTAGTGCAAAAATGCTTTTTTAAGAGCAGAGCTATGATGTGGAACCAAATCCAGACTGGTGTCAAATAAGCTGATCTGGCCTTTCCCAAGTTTTGGGTTAGCTAAAGCGGTGTGTCTGATGTCTGCGCTCCGCTGCTGAGAGTTTTCCAGACAGACAGAGGACTTCCCTGAAATGTGCTGGCTCCCTTCCCTTTGCACCTTTCAATCTGGTGGAGAAAAGAGGAGATAATCCAAGTGGGGAGGAGGCAATGGCCACATGATAGCTCTGCAGTTGGCTGCTAGAATCCCTCCTTTCCTCTGGAGAGGTGGGTGAGGGTGATTGTGCATTTGGGGGTTAAGAGCAACAAAGTTAAGAAAAACAGTACCTTAATGCTGTTTCTCTCTTTCTTCTCCCTTCACTCCATGCTTCTCATTCCCTGTTATTCATACCTTTCTTTTATATATATATTTTTATTCATCCATGCCCTTTTCTGTCTCCATGGGACACTGTTTTGTGCGCTGTCGGCTCCTGGCACCGCACACAGCTCACCCTTTCTTTCTCCAATCAGGATGGCGGCCTAGTGGAAGAGCCCACTACTTCACCATTTTTGCCTTCACCAAGCCTGAAGCTCCCCCTTTCAAACAGTGCACTCCCTAATCAGACCCTGGGCGGGATTGCCTCAGGGCTGGGCATGCAAAACTTGAATTCTTCTAGACAGGTAAGGCTGTCAGGGCAGATCCAAGGTGAATTTCAGCTCTCTTGGATTAGCTGCTAGAGCCCACCCGTCACTTCCCCAGGGAAAATGGGTTTAAACTGAAAGTGCAACATCTTTGTTCACGTGAAATATCGGTGGAGAAACTACCTGCTGTGTGAATGTTTCACCTTCTAGGACATAAAACAACTGCTTAGTTGTAATTAGCCTGTTAATGACACACATCCATTAAGTGGAGACTGTAGTGTTGTGGATTTATATCCCTGAGCCCTGGGATGGCTCTGCTTTGATTGATGGAAATCTCTTTTTTTGAGGCATTGCAAATTGTCACACTCTGAGGCAGAGACGTTGCTCTAGTTTGTTTTTTCTGGCTGGCTTAACTATTCAGTGATGGGATAGGGAAGAAGTGAGGGGGGCTTTTTTATTCCTGCTTTAAGTGTCAAGGCAGCTCATAGTTCTGACAGGTGGCAAGAAAGAAGCTGGACTTCCAGCACCCAGATCAGATTAAGCATTTAGGAAAGGGAGGTGTTTTGGCCCCTGGGTAGAACATGCTGAAAGGGAAAGAAAAGGAAAGGAGATGGGTTGGAAGATTGATAAACACTGCAAGACTGAGAGGCTGTAAAGGCTGTTGGTTATGAAAAAGTTATTTTTGCCATCAAATTGAAGTTCTAGCAAAAAACAAAACAACACAGAAAAGCGCTGTCTGTCATTCTGTGGTGGCTCTTATTATGTATATTCTTTTAAAGTTAGTTTTTTAAAGGCAATGCTTGTCCAGCACTTCCAGCCCGTTAAGCACATCTTTCTGAAAGAGAGCCTGCACTAATAGCATGTCCATTTTCAGGAGCTTTGTAAAATGATCAAGTACAAAAACTGCTTACCTAACTTGAGGATGGGGATGCTGTGAGTTTTATGCCTCCATTCTCCCTTGCTGCACAAATACAAACATTTTGGGCAGGTACTTTTCACTGTTCATCTCTTGACCCTCCAGGGCTATGCATCTTTATAAAAGCCATGTTCAACTTCAGCTGCCTTTTGTTCAGGCATCTGTGCAAAGTTTTGGGGGTTTGGGATGTTGGGTCCGTGGCAGTCCTTGCCGTGCCCGATTCTAAACCTGGTTGTCAACACGGTCTGTATGTGCTGCCTTCTTTATTCGTGCCTGTCATAATCACTGAGAATAGAGACTGCACAGACAAGTAACATCCAGGTTATGTGTTGAGTGATGTCTTTACATGCCAGTGCCATTCTTGTCCTGCTGCAGATACCGAGTGGCAATCTGGGTATGTTTGGCAATAGCGGAGCAGCACAAGCCAGGACCATGCAACAGCCGCAGCAACCGCCAGTGCAACCTCTTAATTCATCCCAGCCTAGTCTTCGTGCTCAAGTGCCTCAGTTTCTATCCCCTCAGGTTAGATTTCCACTCATAAGTTTTGCCTTTCCCTAGAACTCTTCCATGCTCTCCTCTCCTGAGGTTTGCAGCCACTGCTGCCTGGCTGTGTCCCTGTTACCTATTTACATGTTGCATGGCTGAGATGGTCTCACATTATGTACAGTACTTGTGAGGGCACATTATTGAGTTCCTTTTTTGCAAACAGTGATGTTTCTGAGCAGTTTGTTCTCATCTCTTTTTTTCTATAAGTGAACTTCTGAGTATGGTTATTTATTAAGAAAACCTTGCTAATTTTTGGGTAGTTCACAGTACCACTTCAGGTAACAGTAATATTTTCCAGCTGAAGTTTCGTGACGCTTGTGAATGGCTCACTCAGTTGTCACTGTTTAAAAGCAAACATACAATGTTTAATACACTGCTCTTCCTTAGGTTCAAGCACAGCTTTTGCAGTTTGCAGCAAAAAACATTGGTCTCAGCCCTGCACAGTTAACCTCGCCAATTAATAATCCTCAGCATATGACGATGTTGAACCAGCTCTATCAGCTGCAGCTGGTAAGTTAAAAGACATGGCAGATAAGCTCTAAATCAGAATTGCAGGCATGAAGATAAAATGGAGAACTACTATCTGAATTTTTAAATGACGTGACAGATCTTCAAAGCAATCAGATCCTGATTTCTTTGGTAGAATTTCTTTTTAAAGAAACAAAATCGTATTTTTTGCCTCAGGCTTTATAAACAGTCATTTGTGGAATAATTATCCTTTACAGCTGATCAGTGGAACTAAAAATCAGTTGTCTTCCTACTGCTATGAGTAACATAGTGTATTCTAAAATAGCACTGATGTGTGTGTTACATGTCAATACTCACGACTGACTGACCAGCTGGGAGGTGTGTCACAGCATAACCAGAGAACTCTTGGCAGTGCTGGTCACCTGAGTTCCCTGCAGAGCTTCCTTCATTTGTCTCTTTAAAAAATAAAGCATAGGGCAAATTTCCTTTAATTAATGGCATGTATATTAAAAATACCATGTGATAAGAACTACTTATTTTTTGCAAACACGTACTTTTGCTGTTGTGTGCAAATTTTGTATGTATATGTGTGTGTGCATATGAAAATATAGAATTGGTTTTATGGTTATTTTAAAAAGATGCTGCAAAGTCAATATTTGCCAGAGTTAAACATAAAATTGAGGATGACAAACTAGCTGAGTTGCTGCTCTCAATGTGTTAGAGAAACTGTTCTGTTAGTAACAGTGTTTGATATTATTATTCTTTTCTGGTTATGTTTTGAGGAGCATAACGTTATTTTTATAATTTTTATAATAATTTAACAGTACCCAGCTACTCGAAGAGTACGAAATTCCTTTGGATTTTGAATTCATGTGTTTTAGGGAAACACCTTGCAGATCAATTTGCTGCCAAGCTAACCATTTTTAAATCATGAATTTTTTCAGAAATAAAGCAGCAAAAGCAATTTAACTACAGTATTGTCAGAACTCAAAGAAAAAAACAGAATAAAACAAAAAAAACACAAACAAACAAACAAAAACAACCAGAAAAATGAACACTGGACTTAAATAAATACATTATGAAATACATTTGTGACATATATTTTATACTTTTGCTTCATTGAATGTTTTCAGAGAACTTCAGTGTTTGTCTTTTGCATTTCATGGTGTAGCAGAGCAGCTCAAGCAAGCATGTTCAGCCCATTGTGTGTGTTGGGGCTCTGACCTCTCCCTTGTCTCTCCAGGCGTACCAACGTTTACAAATCCAGCAGCAGATGTTACAGGCTCAGCGTAATGTTTCCGGACCCATGAGACAACAGGAGCAGCAAGTATGTTTGCCTGCCAGCCCAATCTCTGCATTAGTTTGCTTTCAGTAGCTTAAAGAGACTGAAATGACATTACACCAAAGCAGCTAAAGCATCCTTAAAACAGGAGTGCAGTGCGTGACAGCAAAGGGTGCTGAGTGTTAAAGCTGCCTCACAGCATTATTGGAGGAAAGCTCTTCACCCCTTAATACGGTCAATTTTTATTTGTGAAGAGATCTATTGTGTTATTTCACTGCAGAGAAAGAAACCTGGTGTCTTTTTGTTCCATTGAGCATTTATTGATTCTCTCTCCCGCAGGTTGCACGTACAATCAATAACATGCAGCAGCAGATCCAGCAGCACCAGCGCCAGCTGGCCCAGGCCCTGCTTATGAAGCAGCAGCCTCCCCCTCCACATCTATCTTTGCACCCCTCTGCAGGCAAATCAGCCATGGATAGCTTTTCACCCCATCCCCAGGCTCCCGGCCTACCTGACCTGCAGACCAAAGAGCAACAGTCTTCACCGAACACCTTTGCTCCTTACCCTCTTGGTGAGTGTCCACATGGAAAACACAGAGGGAGCCCATTTCCTTAACTCAGCATCTAAGTATTCTGTTCCAGAGTATATCCACTATAAATATGTAAATATATGTTTATTAAATAACGTTGAAATGCCAAAACAAAATCGTGGCACTGCATACCTGTGTTTGAGGTTTGTGGTAGCTGTATCTGCTCACCTGTGTTCTGCCTACAAATAACCAGAACAGAAAATTTGCCTAATTAGCTATTCACTTACGTTGCTGTTTATGAACTAAGTGTAAATTAACAGCATCATGTTGTAAAATGCACAAATGTCATATTGATAAACAGGAATATCATCTGGGAAGGTCCTGCAAAGTTATCTTTCCGCTGTAATCAGCACTAGTAAGGCTGATTTTGGTCAGTGTATTTCAAGAAATAAATGGATCAGAGTGTAGGGGAGGTGATTAGATGTTTCAGAAACACAACTGCTAAGGAAAAAATTAAATCCTCTGCTCACTATAGTCTAAAGAGGATTTAAGAGACATGCAAGAATCTTCAAAAATGTAAAAGAGAGCTATGAACAAGTTTTCTTGCATGTGGCTAATGCAAGACGTAATAAACTTGTGATGCCTAAAAGGAGAAGTAGCTAAACATTAAGGATCACTTAGTTGCTTTAAGCAAAGTAGAGTATTGGAATGAATTATCTGGGAAGTTCCTGAAATCTTCTTCAGCAGCCATTCTGTGGTAGATTAGACATAGATCTGTCAAATATGATTGATGTCAAAATAGTCAATTGGGCCTGGAGACAGGCAGAACAGAGCAACCTTTCAGACCTGTTTGCTGTGTGATTCTTTGATGTATGCTACAGACTTCCTTTATGACTTAAAGGAATTAATTTAATCTCTTTGTGACTCTCTTTATGCTGGGTACAATAGAGTTGCCAAGCTTTATCTGCCATGCAGCAGTTAAGAAGGTAATTCTGACTGCTGTGGTGAGCTGTTGTGGCAGGGAGCATCAGAAGGCAAAAGAATTTGTGAATTAAAGGCCCAAGTCTAAGAGGTTCTTAAGATTTCTCAGCTTCCTGTGATCTGCTAACATTCAGGATTATATATCAAAAAAGACCCAGATTCATGTCACAGGAGCATGTCAAAATTATTCCCTAAATAACAGTCTGAGTGAGTCTTTTCTGTGTATACAAAATACAAGCCCAGCTAGTAAAGTACCTGCTCTGATGAACAGCCACAGTTTGGCCTTTAATTGCTTGCTTTGTTTGGGATTTTTAAAATGTTGTTAGCAAAACAAAGTGGCAGACATGATGGGGGTGTGCTGGGGAGACATTGGGGATATTTTGGCATAGCCATGGAATGTTGCAAACTCTTCACTGGTTTAAGCACAACATTCCAGTGCATTCTTCCAGAATGCCTTTCCTGAGACAACTGAGGAGACTGTAAGTAGAAACACTGACAGCTTTAATATATTATTCCTGCATCTTCCCCCCACCCCCCTTTTAGCAAAGTTTTAACCTTTTCTGAATTCAGGGGAGATCTTTTGGTGTGCCCATAAAATCAGAAGTTCTTGACAGCAGGTCGAAAAGGTGCATCGTAAGTGACACACATACACATGTGGGTGTTCAGTAATTCCTGTAGCTGGGTTTTTAAACACATCTTTTAATTATATGATGGATATCTAATGACCTGTTTCCCCTCAGCTGGACTGAACCCGAACATGAATGTAAATAACATGGACATTACTGGTGGTTTGTCAGTGAAGGACACTTCTCAGTCCCAGTCTCGCCTTCCTCAGTGGACACACCCCAACTCTATGGATAATCTGTCTAGTGCTGCTTCTTCTCTTGACCAGAACTCCAGCAAGCACGGTATGTCCCCTGTGATCACTGTGTCAGTCTGTTTTTTTGAGATTTGAGCCACGGTGCAGTTGTAATTATTTTTCTCATGTCACTTTTTTGTGTAAGTGCTCGTAAATGGTTGGTACCGAACACCTTTTACAGATGATTTCTGCAGTCACGTTCAGCAGTGCAGCTCTCACTTCCTACATGCAACGTAGAAATGTTTTTTTCACTTGTTGAATTTTGTTACTGAGAATATGGAGTTCAAGTTAAACAACCCTTGAGTGTCAGCAAAACAAGTCCCACAACCTTCTCCTTATTCCACACCTGTATACCTTCAATCCTAAAAAACCTGACATTGGCTTTCTCCCACTTTTTCCAGTATCATCGACCTTTCCCAGCCAGTACTGTACAAAGGCATGATGGATTATATAGTTACCCACCCTGGAGTTAGGAGCACAGACTTCTTATTTTTCCAGAAGTGATTGCTAATCTGTTTGCACACCTTTATCCCTAACACCTCTGGTATCCTGAGTCAGTTTTTCCTTTATTTCCTGTACCAAGTTTATTCTGTTGGAACATGGGGCTCTGTTAACTTTAATATATCCTGGATTTTGTTATGAGCAGCATGAATTATTCCTTCTATGACAAGTTATTTATTGTGAAAGTAACTGCACTGTTTATGCCAAAATTGTTGTTTGATAGTTTGTAGGAACATGAGAACAATTTTAAATCATCCATCCCATCATCAATGAATGCCTTGGGAAGGATGAGATAAGGGGTTGCCTACAGTGATACTCCTCAATATGCTGCCTCAACACATTCCTATTTACCATCAGTGTAATGATTTGAATTAGTTAACTCTCTTTTTGACAGGAATTTAATGCAGATTTCTTCAACTTGAGTCTAGATTGTACCAGCAGCTCATCTCACAGCTGTAGTCCCTAGTAAGGCTCCAGAGGCCAAGCCTGGCTTACTGTGTTTGTAAGAAACAAAAAAGAGCAGTAACAAAATTTAGGGACTGATGAAATTCCATACCCCAAATTAGTCCTGCTCCTAAACAAAGCCTTTCCATCTCACTCCTTACAGGTGCTATACCTGGAGGTTTAAGTATTGGTCCTCCAGGAAAGTCCTCCATTGATGACTCCTATGGCCGGTATGACCTGATTCAGAACAGTGAGTCTCCTGCCAGCCCACCCGTAGCTGTTCCTCACAGCTGGTCACGTGCCAAATCCGATAGTGATAAGATTTCCAATGGCTCCAGCATAAACTGGCCACCAGGTAACAAAACACAAAGCCTTGGTGTTCAACTCATGTCCTTAAAACGTGCTGTTGGGTTGATTTATTGAATCCTTCTTGATGCACGGGGAGTTGGGAGAATTATGACCTTGTGTGCTTTCCTTTTTTGTTGTATTTGGAACAGAGTTTCATCCAGGAGTGCCATGGAAAGGACTGCAGAACATTGATCCTGAAAATGACCCTGATGTTACTCCTGGAAGTGTTCCAACTGGGCCTACCATAAACACCACGATACAGGATGTTAATCGCTATCTCCTCAAGAGTGGAGGTAAAACACACAAGTTACTTTCACATCTGTGCATTCTCTCTTCTTCTCTCGAAAAAAGTTGACCTCATTTGTTACAGACACAGCATATTTTTGCATGTTCTCCTAATCTGATAATTCTTCTGCTCAGAACTTTCACTGAATATCCAGAAAGACTTGTTTTAAATATGGGATTAAGAAGTTTCTTGTTTTCCATGGGAATGTAAATATTTTCTATTGGAAAAGGCTGTGAGATGTAATTTAAACATCTGTGGTCACTGGAAGTTTTTCCTAACTTGTAACACTTGATTTTGAATGAGATTTTGCTCTCCACACTGCCCATCCTCCTACTTACATTGTGAAATGCTAAGAAGACACAATACAAAAGTTCCACAGTTGTTGCTGAGGCAGCAGGCTTCTGGCACACTAATTAATTGTAGCTTTGTTAGAAGATCAATCAGCAAAATAAATTAGAGCTGTTTTATTCCCAAAACCATAAAGGAAAAGAAAAAATTAGGGGAATTGACTAGTAAACTACTGTTTCGCAGTACCATTTCCATTCCTTTTGTCTTGGCAGTCCTCACTTCAGCATAAGAAGAGAATTCTGTAAAATTGGGACTGTGCTACTTGTTAGCTAGATGTACTGGAAGTGGATCAAAAGGAAAGGTAGCTTGATTTAATTGTGATCAGGGTGCTGAAATAGCCAAGTCATCTGCATTCTATTAGAGCACTGTAATAGGCACAGAAATAGCACAATCAGGTTGTCCAGAAGGATCTGTCAGGATTAAAAATGTGGATTTTGTTCTAATAGTTACATCTGTGGTATCAGCGCAGAATGTAAATCAGAACTATCCTTGAAATGAGTGTCCGGCTCTGGGCTTGTTAATTCAGCAAGGGATGTGAAATGTGAGGGAAAGGAGGCAGGGGTTTCATTGCCTCCAACCATTTGAGTTGTCTCTTGCCAGGAAGCAGTCTTTTTATTTATGCTGAAAGATAGAGTATTTGTGTGCGTGAATAATGCTGAATTAACTTTCAGTGACCCAAATGTGTTCAAGGGGCAGGCAAGTTTGAAGTTATAACAAGTACGAAGATGTCATTCAGTGACAGTTCGAATATGGTGCCCCCCCAAAATACTCTCCTCAGGCCAAAAGCCTAAACCTTCAGAGCTGTACCTGTAAGTCAGATGATACCTAATACAGGTCTTCCTGCTTTAGAGAAAGAACATTGGCTCTGTTGGTGTATAATCTACCAGTGGAATGAAGAAATATTCTTGGAGACCATCTCAGCAGAGATGTTCTTAGCAGAAGTAAAGAGGCCCTAAGGAACTCAAGCCTTCTGAAGAGCAGGGACTGTTGGGCTCCATGTGTGCTTCCTTTCCTCGTTAGCTTTTTAGTTTGGTAATACAATTTTAAGAAAAATATAGTTTAGAATCTGTTTCTGAATGCTCTTATAACGTAGGGGTTTGCTCCTAGGTAAAACTGCTTATTGCTGTCAGTACCCATCCGTATGAGACTGTAGCTTCCATGGGAACACTGCAAGCCTAGAGCACACAACTTGTATTGACAGAGCTGATCCCCATACAGAGGGCTAGGCTGTGTGTGGTGTGCCCTTGGAAACAGGCAAACCCCATTTTTGGGTTGGTTTTTGCTTTGCCCTGATTGCTATTGAAGCTTTGCAGGGTCAGCTAATATGAGCTGAGAGACATAGCCCCAAGGAATCAGAACCAGTGTCAGTTCTGTAGGCTTTTGAATCTGCTATAATTCCATCACTCCTGCCTGGGGAGTAGATTATCTCCAGAGAAGGCCTGATACAGAGTTATTTTGCTTGAAACTTGATGTCTGTTTTGGTGTCCTGTGGAGTGCAGGGAGTCTGGTTAAGGTAAAGTTTGATTGGTTGCTGTTCCGGTTGAACAGATAGCCTTTGTTTTTTGTTGAGCTGTGAGGGATGAGTTTGTCCTTTTACTTCCTCCCTCCTCCCTCAGTACAGTGCTCTTTTCTAAAGAACTCACCTATTTTTATTAGTCAGTTTAAGATGTTTCAGTATCACAGTCCATCTGTGTGTGACAGGAATGATAAGTCACCCGGGATACACACTTGATTTTGTTGGTGGCTGGAGAGAATACTTCCAGCTCTTCTGGTCTTTATAATGAAGATTTTTTTTTTATTTTATGTTCAGTTTCTTTCAATTGCTGCCAGCAAGGAAATGTATTCTTAGATAGCTCCTCAGATTGTAAATGATTTACTGAGGTGGTTTCAGGCTATTTCATTTATGTTATCAGTTGAAGAAGAGATTGCAAAAATATATCCTTACTTTACTGAAAGTCTGCAAAAATTTAAAGATGTTTGTGGACATTATGATGTAGGGGGAGTAGTTACCTTGAGTAATTTAGGATAGATCACCCATGGTAAGAGGTTAGTTTATCATACACATCTCTGCTCATCTACAGTTGCCATTACCTAAGTCAGCTGGCAGAGGACCTTGATAAATGAAGCCTGTTCCTTGAGACTAAACAGTTTAACACTAATTTTTTTGAGTCACATATTTTAAATGAAATGCAGAATTTGCCTCTCTCAAAGGCACTACTCGAACTGCTACTGTGCCAGCTTTCTTCTCTTTTCTACTAAAGACTTCTGCTTCACTTTATCACACCTTCAATAACATTTCATTCCTAGCCTTCAGAGACCAGGCTGATTAAGGGAAAAAATGCCTTTGCATGGTTTGTATTTGCACATAAAAGATTTGCTTATGTCACACCAAACATCATTATGCCCATCTTTCTTAGTTGCTTCTCTGCTGGTTCTGCAGGGTCATCCCCAACATCATCTCAGAATGCCACGCTGCCTTCATCGAGTGCCTGGCCGCTTAGTGCCTCCGGCTACAGTAGCTCTTTCAGCAGCATTGCATCTGCACCTAGCATTGCAGGTACGGAACTGGCCTTTCTACTTCCACATCCTTCTGCATTCTCAGCAAAAGGCCCCAGGAGGTGCTTTCCCAGTGGTTACAGCGCTGCTGCCGGAGACAGGCGCGTGTTTTCGGTGCTGCGCTCAGTGGGCAGCTCTCCTGGCAGCCCTTCAGCGGGGAGTGTTGGAGGGTGTGTGCCTGGAACTGTGCTTAGGAAAAATGTGTTCATTCCACTTGGGGCCAACGTGCTGTCACTGTGCGTTGGCATCGGGATCTCTGAGGAGGGATGTTGTCTAGGACCTCAGCAGGAATGCCCCTGCTGGACACTTCCAGTAAGAGCTGATGTGAAATTTTTGTTACTAAACTCACTGTTAAAAGTGAAACATCTTCAGCTCAGGAAAAAGCTTTAGTGCTTTAGAACCTCCAGGAGTTGCTTTGCATGGCTCTGGAGGGTTTGGGCTTCTTGGGGCTCTTAAATGTCTTTCAATAGCCGAGCCAAAACCTGATGCTGCCCCATATGACTGAGCTTGTAGGTGGACTAAATTCTTTTTAACGAGCTCTAAATTCTGGAGTGTATCTCTGCAAAACATGGCAACTTTGCTTGCAAACTACCTACCTAAATATCCAGTTTGTCCCACTATAAAAATGTGTTGGTGCTGTTGTGTGGATTGGATTAGCATTTTCATACCTAGCCACTGAAAACCCTCCACTTCTCTGGATGAAGGAAGGTGCAGCCTCCAGGTCACACTGCAGAATGCAAAACATAAAGGGGGTTGTTTGGAATGTTTCCCTCCAGTGAAAGGAAAAGAAAGGAATGGCTTGCTTTTCTTTATCTGCCATGCATTTCTGCTTTATTTGCTTCTTAATATTTTTGCAGTGTCATCTAATGTTTGTGTTACCCCCATGAGAAGCAGTGACACAGCATAGTGGTGATGTGCATGTGTTGTGTGCCACATCACAGGCTGGGCTGCTCTTGAGTTCTCCAGCTCAGTCTTGTGCCCTTCCCTGACACCATTTTACACTCATTAATGTCCTCATCGTCATTGTCAAATTGGTTTTGTTGCTACAGCTTGCAAGAAGATGGGAGAGTGGTTGCCCTTTCACTTGAATTGTTGTGATTTAATATGAAATCATTGAATTAAATGATTTAGATAAATGGAGGCGATCTGGGGAGAGTGTGTGTGTATATAACTGAGGCTGTGATTTGGCAACTGGTCAGTTCAGCTTTGGGACTGATTAAAAAAACCCCCCAGTGGCTGCCTTGATGCAAAGCACTGATCTAGTATAAACTTAAATCTGCCAGTTCAAATCCAGCCTTATAAAAACTCACAAGATTTTTGCATCTTAGACCTTGTCAGACCAAGTATTTACTTACTCTCTGCAATCAGCATTAAAGCATTGAGGCAGCACAGTCACAACACCATTTGCTGTGGCAGAAGATGCAGGATGTGTCCCTTGCAGTCCAGTCCAGTCCAACACGTGCTGCCAGTGTTGGTAACAGCAGGACTGAGATGTGGCAAGGAAATTGGGCTCTAATTGTACAACATGTGTTGGTACAAGGAGGAAGGGCAGGGAATTGTAAGTCTAAAGGTGAATAAAGGGGTTTATTTTGGTATTCGTAATTTAAATCAATTTTGTCTGCCCCTGTAGATGCTAAACTGTATTTGCTGTTGTTGGTTTTTTGTTATTTTATTAAACTCTGATTTGGCAGAAACGGTAGTCAGAGTTTAAAAACCAATTAGGGAAATAAACTGAACAGCAAAAAGTTACAAAGAGTGACATGTTGTGATATGATCTAACTTCTGCAGATTTCATTTTTCTCAAAGATACTTGGAAAAAAAGAGTATCAGTTACTCTGAACATTAAGGAAGTTTTTATTGGTCTTTGATCTTGAGAATTTTATTATGTCAGAAGAACATATGGACATACTGGTTTCTTTGCTAGATAAAATGAGTTGTTAAAAAAAATGTTGAAGTCCTATTAAACCTTTTGAGAGAGACAATCTTGAAGTGTTTCATTATAATTTTGGTGCAGTTAGATTTCAAATACCTAAGTGCATTTTCTGGTCTTTTTTTCATGTATCATCTTTAAAAAGAGAGAGAAGTAGTAGGAGATTTTAAAAAAAGGGAACTGTGTATGTGGCAGGTTGTGAGGTTCATTAAATACAGAATTATTTGAAATTGTAGACACTAGTAGGTTCAAAGGATATAGGATTGATAGCACTGGATGGTACAGAGGGTTGTTCTCCTCCTGAAAAGCTGGAGGAATGTAGTAAGTGATACCCATCCTCCTGGGTTTAAAATTGACAATACACAAATGTATTTTTTCCCTGTTGCAGGTAAACTGTCAGACATCAAGTCCACGTGGTCCTCTGGCCCGATCTCTCACACACAAGCCTCTCTGTCCCACGAACTCTGGAAGGTACCCAGAAACACTACGGCTCCGACGAGACCCCCTCCAGGCTTAACCAACACCAAGCCATCATCCACGTGGGGAGCCAGTCCCCTGGGCTGGACCAGCTCTTACTCCTCTGGTACCCTCAGCTTCTCTGCTTCTATTCTGTGTGTGAGGCTCCAGAACCTGGAGGTTCAGTGCAAGCTGAGTTGTGTCTGTTTTGAGGATTAATCTCACGCCTGTTTATTGGCTAAGTTGTAAATGAAGCTGCTCTCTATGAGGTGGTCACATGAGTAATTTTACACAGGAATTGCCAAATTACCTAATTCAACTAGGATTTTTATTTTCCCATTTCTTTATTTTCTAAAAATGTCTTTCTTGTTTTGTGGTGTGATCTAAAACTCCCTGTGAGGCTTCAAGATGAGCCCATGGAATTTAATATGGGATACATATTTGGAGCATGGATATGTGAAGCATTTAGGACCTGATGGCATTGCAGGGCCCTCAGGGAATGCCCTAATTTTTTTTTCACACAGGCTGTTTTTTTAGGTGTTGTTTTGCTGAAATGCAAATATGAGAAACCATGTCTATATATATATATTATATATATATATGTGTGTGTGTGTGTGTATGGCTCTGTATGTATCTATATAGAGGTATCTATATCTGTATAAATATAGATACATATGCAAATATTACACATATTTTGTTAAGCTGACTATTTTATTAATCTATTTTCACTAAACTGAGAATTAAATGTTCTTCCCTCTTCTTGCCATTAATTTTGGATCTGTTTCCTTCACCAAAGCCCCACCTGTGTGGGCAGATATTGCTGCTGCCCAGATTCTCTCCAGCTTGAGTGTGGTCATATGTGTGACCACAGGATCCACTGTGGTTTCTCAAATGCCACTCATAAATACCAAGCTTGGACAGTTTCCTAATGTAAAACTCCAAGCTGTAAAACACCAGCCTAAGGTTGGAAGAACAGGTTTTGTTGGTTATGTCCTTGTATCTTCAATCAGGACATTGTCAGTGCAGAAATACCTGTTTTGAATAAGTCATACACATTAATCTGTCATTGGCAAGATGGCAGAGTGCTGCAGTGCTATAAAATCTTTAATAGCAGGCAGCAGCCTGAGCTTGGACATCAAGAATTGCTTTTAAAATGTGCCTTCCAGATTTAATTCTAATGCGTCCTGGAGATGTAGTTTGCTGCAGTGTCATAGCTGCATCTGCCACTAATAATTACTCTGGGAGTGTGGAAAAAGCCACAGACCTTTTAAATGTAACAAGAGCAGGTTTCCATTCAGCAGCCTTTCATTCCAGAGGAGACAGTAAATCAAGGTGTGAGGAAACAGCCGTAGGATTTGTTTTCAGTAGCAGTGAGGCTTGCTAGCATGTTGTGATTCCAGGTAAATTTGCTTGTAATATGCTCTCCAGACCATCATCAATGGGGTTTTTTGTGGAATTTTATTGCAGGTTCTGCATGGAGTACTGACAGCTCAGGGAGAACAAGCAGCTGGCTGGTTCTTCGGAACCTCACCCCCCAGGTAATGGGAATTGCACAGGGAAAAGGACCTGGCACATTTAAGAGATTATAGGAACAACATTTAGCAGCCTTGCTTATTTGATTTATTTGAAGGAAGAATAATTACTCTGCATTTATTACAGGTGTCTTCTTCAGGGAACTTGTTAAGTTTTCAAAGTGCTGTCAAATCAAGCATAAACTTTTAAGGCTGTAATTAATCATTCAGTGGGCTCCATTTGTGTATGTGTAACTTTGGAGGTGAATGGTGCTTTAAAGCAGACACAGAAATATAAAATCTTTTTTTCCTGTGGGTTTTTGTGGTTCTTCTCACAAGTCTTTTAAATCCTCTACTTGTCCTTCACACAGTGTCATTGAGAAGGAAGAACATAAACCACAAAGCCTTGAGTGCAGACGTCCAAATTGATCTTGGGGAAAATTTAGTTATATTTATGAGCAGTGTGGTTTTCCTTTGACTTCTTTCTCAACTTCTGTGAACTTTCAATGACAAATATATAATTTGTATAACCTGAACTGGGAAACTTTGTGCACTGGCCTATAGGGAAGACTTTTTAAGAAGGCAGGATGTCTCCCTCAGTGCAGAGAGTGATAAGTCTGTAATTTAATTCTTCTTTTCCTTTCACTTGTACTCACTCTTCAGCTTTTAAAACTTGCTTTACAAGCATTTAAAGTAACATCACAACAGCACAGACAACCTTTGCCCCCTTCTCTCCCCAGATTGATGGTTCCACACTGCGGACACTGTGTTTGCAACACGGCCCTCTCATAACATTCCACTTGAACCTGACACAAGGGAATGCTGTGGTCCGATACAGTTCCAAGGAGGAAGCAGCCAAGGCCCAAAAGTCTCTGCACATGTATGTTTCTGCTCTCTTTTTCCTTTTTTATTAAGCCAGTTTTATCCCAGAAACTTAATTCCTTAGGCATTTATTTGCCAGGAGTCAGAACTCGGATCACTAGTTACTTTTAATCGGATTTTCAAAATTGCCTGAATGGGATAGAAAAATATTAGCTGGGGGGGTAGATACTCATGGATTACTGAATAAGAGGTCATTACAAAACTTTATTCACCATTAATAATGTTTTCAGTTAGGATTTGTCACCTGTAAGGCTGCAAAGAGTTTGTAAGATGTGATACGGATTCCAGAAGAAGCTCGGAGAGAGGGGCATTTAGCTTTAGAAAGGACATAACAATGATAAATCATAGAATTGCCTGGGTTGGAAGGGACCCTAAAGATCATCAGTTCCACCCCCTGCTGTGGACAGGGACACCTTCCATTAGCCCAGGTTGCTCCAAAGCTCCATCCAACCTGGCCTTGGAAACTCCACGGATGGGGCAGCCACATCTTCTCTGGGCAACCTGTGCCAGAGCCTCACCACCCTCACAGGGAAGAGTTTTTCCTATCTGTAAGATAGAAAAGGCCATTCCCCTCTTCCTGTCACTCTAGGCCTTTGTTTCTTGTAGCTACTTCAGGTACTGGAAGGCAGCAATTAAGTCACCCCAAAGCCTTCTCTTCTCCAGGCTGAACAACCCCAGTTCTCCCAGCCTTTCCTCACGGGACATCCACCTCGGGTATTCCCAGAAGTGCCCTTTTCATCATTCCACCTTTTCTGTTTGTGCCCTCAGGTGTGTCCTGGGAAACACTACCATCCTGGCCGAGTTTGCTGGTGAGGAAGAAGTGAACCGTTTCCTGGCGCAGGGCCAGGCGCTGCCGCCCACCTCCAGCTGGCAGTCCAACACTGGATCCACCCAGACCCGCCTGGGCTCCTCCGGCAGCTCCCACGGCCTGGTGCGCCCCGACACCGGCCACTGGAACCCCCCCTGCCTGGGGGGCAAGGGCAGCAGCGACCTGCTGTGGGGAGGGGTCCCCCAGTACTCCAGCAGCCTTTGGGGACCCCCCAGCGCCGACGACGGCAGAGTCATCGGGAGCCCCACGCCTCTCAATACTCTCCTCCCGGGGGATCTTCTCAGTGGGGAGTCCATCTAGGAAACGAGAGAGAAAACAAAATGGAAATAACAATCATCAGCACTAAAGGAAAAAAAAATTAAAAAAAAATTAAAAAAAAAAATTGTAACCCTTTCCAGTCCCGGGCTTGATGAAGAATCCAGCTTTAACCCATGAGACTGGCAGCCCTCCTTAGTACCTCTGTCCAATATCGAATCCGAAACTGCAGAAGTCCTTGTGAACTGTTCCTGAAACAGTATGGGCTCCTTTTTGGTCAGTGTCACATGCTAATGACAGGTTTTATTGTTTGGTTGTTTGTTGTTTTTTTTTTTTTCATGACTTTTTTGTTTTATGTTGTCTTTTTATGTTTGTATGGTGATTATTTTTTTTTTTTCAAAACCAAGTATAAAAGCTGCTTAGAATAGGTCTATCATGAAGGGCACTTTTCAGAATTTGGGCTGGAAAGGGTTATTTTATCAACTTGGAGTGGGGAAGGGGGGGTGGGAAGGGGAAATGAAAGCCTATTTAAATGAGCCTGTGACTATTATGCACATTACAGAGGCGGACCCAATAATCAGAAAGGGTGAAGTGTGATATTTACCATTGGTACAGAAAAGTGACGAATCCAAGTGGGAACTATGGACTGTACAGGTTGAGTTGGGGTGGGGAGGGAGGGCAGGGTTGGGGTATCTCTGTGTCCACTACTCCCATGGATCTGCCTATGCACATTGCCCTTGTTTCATTACTTTTTCATGTCATTTTTTTTAATCCCAAAAATATTAAAAAAAAAAGGTAAAAAAAAATAAAAAAAAATTAACAAAGAAACAAAAAAAAATTAAAAAAAAAAAGGCAACAAACCATATCAACATGCAAATACTTGAATCCAGCAGGCCAATAACAAAATGTGAACACTTTCTGAGTTGAATTATTACACTTCCAGGTCAGCATCAGTACACAAAAAACAGGCTCTAAGAATTTTTTTTTTTTTTTAAAAAAAGTTCAGACTCTATGTTTTTGTTGGGACAGATGTGAGTGTGCCTCTGTGTGTGAGTGTGCGAGTGTGTGTGCCCACGTGTGGTTTAACTCAACGTGTGAAGTTTTTCCTTTGATTCAGTATATGCTTTTTATTTGCTCATTGGTCAAATGTTTAATTGTTATTAGCTTCTAACTTTGCACTGAGTGTCCGCAGCCCTTCTTGTAGCTAATCCTGTAATGGTAAAAATACAAAACAAAAAAAGGACAAAAAAAAAGGAAAAAAAAAAAAAAAAAAAAAAAAAAAAAAAAAAAAAA